TTATATATATATATATATATATAATTATAAATATATATATAGGCATTGAAAAGTCTTTAGCCTGGATTTAAAAGTAGTAAACCATTTGTTTGTCCATCATTTTAAATGTTTTTGTACTATTACTCTTGTCTTATTCTGTAGCACACCTGTTTTTTTGTTTTTGACACTGTATTTGTTGTTTAAGAAAAAGGAAAATAAAGTGTAAAAAAATGAATAAATAAAATAAATGAAAAATAAAAAAGAGAGTAAGAGTTTGAGCGGACCTGCAGGTTTCCAGTAGTTTGTTCCAGATGTTTGGAAACATCCCAGTCCTCCATCTCACTTCCTGTCCTCCTGTCTCAGGATCCAGAGGGGAAACCGAAGAAGGCGAATATTCGAGATAACCGCGATGGAACGTACACGGTTTCCTACGTACCCGACATGGCGGGCCGCTACACGATCACCATCAAGTACGGCGGAGATGAGATCCCGTATTCTCCGTACCGAATCCTCGCTCTGCCGACCGGAGACGCCTCTAAGTGCCTGGTCACAGGTCAGGACACGCCCACCGCTCACTGACATCCAATCAGATCACAGCTCTCACAGCCAATCAGATTGAATCTCCTGTTTTAGCCTCTCTGACCCTCTTGTTGTTTTTCTGCAGTTTCCATTGGAGGACACGGACTGGGTGAGTTTGTACTATTTACACTTTCTGGTGTTTTACTTGGGCTGACCAGGAGTTAGAGATTAGGGTTAGTCAGTGGTCAGGAAGTGAAGTCATAACTTTGAGAATGAAGTCGTAACTTTGAGAATTTGTGAATGAAGTCGTAACTTTGAGAATGAAGTCGTAACTTTGAGAATGAAGTCGTAACTTTGAGAATAAAGTCGTAACTTTGAGAATGAAGTCGTAACTTTGAGAATAAAGTCGTAACTTTGAGAATAAAGTCGTAACTTTGAGAATAAAGTCGTAACTCTGAGAATAAAGTCGTACTTTTAGAAGAGCAGAAATAAACAATACTGGAATTTAAACATCTTAAAATAGAACAGCATTCAAATGAATGAATTATGAATACTCTCATGAGTAATATTTGATTGAAGTTATTACATTTAAAAGTTTTGATTTGGTTTATTAATTTTTTATTTAAAGTTTATTCTATTTTCTGTTTTGTATTATTTTACTTTCTGATGTTTTTCTTGAAGAGTAGTAAGAGAGGACCAGGCTCTGTTCTGATTGGTGGTCTGTTGTCAGGACCAGGCTCTGTTCTGATTGGTGGTCTGTTGTCAGGACCAGGCTCTGCTCTGATTGGTGGTCTGTTGTCAGGGCCAGGCTCTGTTCTGATTGGTGGTCTCTTGTCAGGACCAGGCTCTGTTCTGATTGGTGGTCTGTTGTCAGGACCAGGCTCTGTTCTGATTGGTGGTCTGTTGTCAGGGCCAGGCTCTGCTCTGATTGGTGGTCTGTTGTCAGGACCAGGCTCTGTTCTGATTGGTGGTCTGTTGTCAGGATCAGGCTCTGTTCTGATTGGTGGTCTGTTGTCAGGATCAGGTATGGGCCCCACCATCCAGATCGGGGAGGAGACCGTCATCACCGTGGATGCTAAGCATGCTGGGAAAGGTAAAGTCACGTGTAAGGTGTCGACCCCCGACGGCGCCGAGCTGGACGTGGACGTTGTGGAAAACGCAGACGGGACGTTCGATATCTACTACACAGCGCCGGAGCCCGGGAAGTACGTGATCACCATCCGGTTCGGAGGCGAGAACATCCCAAACAGCCCCTTCCACGTGGTGGTGAGTCACAGAGAGTCGCTACTTTGAGAATAAGATAAAGCCAGACGTTTGTGATTAAAGTTGTAACTTTGTGAATAAAGTTCTAAAAAGTCATAACTTTAGTAACAAAAGTCAGACAGTACCTGTGTCCACACGTCATTATTATTCTAATAATGTGACCCCTAAGCACACAGTGGAAGTCTGATTTCAACACTAACAGCGTTTGTGCATGGAGGTGTGTGTGTTTTTTTATTTTTGTATTGTGTGTGTTTTGTTTGTGTTTTAAAGCCTGTACCTTGTTTCCTGTCAGGCGTGTGGCCCCGCCCCCCTAATAGAGGAGCCCTGTGATTCGCTGCAGTTCAGCCCCCCCTGGGTATACCTGTTACCGTCATATATTTATTTATAATAATTTATAATCCTTTATATATATCTGCTCCTCTGCTTCACACTGTCCTCTCCACCGGCTGCAGATCAATAACGACCCAGAATCAGATCCAGTTATAGATCGGGGTCAGCATGGCTGCATGACGCATGGCTGCTGCTGGGGGGCGGGG